AACAGAAAATAGAAAATGACTTCTGCCTAAGAAATCAGGCAAAACAGGATTATAGAAAATGACTTCTGCCTAAGAAATCAGGCAGAACACCGATGCTACTGTAGATCATAATAGAAGCTTTCTGCTCATGTTCCAGTCAGGGAAACAGAAAGTGCAGTATTCAAGATTGTGCTTGATTCGTGAAATTGTTATTAATATTGATTTATGACATTGGTGATTGAGTTGGAGATTTCCAAATTGGACAATTCTTATTGCTTTGCTGATATGGATCCAATATGCTTTGTTTTGGCAAAAAGGATCCAACTTATTGTACATTATTTGTTCTTTTAGACTTGATACGTATAAGTTTAGTTTTGTCATATGCTCCTGACTTGCTTGTTCTAACTGTGGGCACACATGTCTAATCTGCATGGTTGTTGAACTGATTAACTTAAGCACTTGGCAGCCTGAATAGTCCAATATATCTCCTTGGTTATGTTTCTCTTGTAGACCTAATGTGAGGTAAGGAGGTCCAGTACTACCATGTCTCAGTTATCGGGAAGTGGGAATACAATATCCACCGTCAACAGCTTGTGATGGGTTTTGGAGCATAAAAATGTGCAGAGAAATTAATTTCTTTTTATGGAAAGCTATATAAGGTCAGAAATCACAATTTTGTAACTTTCAGGGATGGTCCAGGAACAGAGAGGATAATTTGGTTATAGGAAAAGTATGCATAGGTGGTAGAGATGAATGCATAGTGATTCTATAAAATTTGCATAGTTGGTAAAATAATTTAGAGTGTTGGTATGGATTTGGATGGATCCCTGATCAAACTATAATATTTATTTTTGGATTGGAAATGATGGGGTTGTTACTGACTATAATTCAAAAATCTGTTGACCTAAAATTGAGTAAGGTGTCTGAGTTTTTGAGGTACTGGAAGTTGAAAAGGTTTCATTACTTAAAATACACTTTCATTCTTTAGATGTGCTTGCAGACAGTGAAGTGGAGAGTCCAAAACACTCTATTTGCATTCCTCTTGTACACTTGTATTATCTTGTAAGTTGGGATTGATTTGATTGTTCTTGAACGAATATATGTATATATAGTTGGCTGATGATCAAACTATGCAAATGGTGTGCATGGGTTTAAACTGATGTGAGGGTGTGAATTGTTTTGTGCAAAGATTGCTTCCTTGTGCTTCTTTTATTTATTTGCAAATTCCATGTACATACTCTATTCCATAGGTCATGTTGCTTCATTTGAGTTGTTAGAGCTTCCATGCTTATGCTTTAGATTTATCATCTCTTTTTACTGTTCAGGGAAGAACTGAAGACTATCCGAGACTTCATCTCCAAATTATCAGTTGAGAAATGGATCTGCTATGAGTTTCAGACAGTAGACCGATCATGGTCTCCTATACTTATTTTCTTGTTCAAGAAATGTTGAATCGTTGAGTTGCTCGTTCTTTGCCCATCTCTTTTCAAAGAATGAGATACTATGGGAAGAAACCAAGCTCTCTTTCTAGCAAGAGAATTAAGGAAGTTATTGTAGCACAGTTTTTTGAATTTTATTCCTGAGGACAAGGATGTTCTGCAGAGGAGAGGAATGTTAAAAATCTAGGAGCATATTTCAGATAGCAATATTCAATTCGGAATTAGTTGGTTTGCAAAGTTAGCTCATTCAATTAGATGGTACATTCATTAATACATGTAACTGTGTAACTAGGTTATCAAGCCAATTAGTGCTTATTTTTTGAGTTAATTACGACTTGTACCTCTCCAGTTTTGGGTAAAATTTCAATTCAATCCTTTCTTGATCTTATGAAATTTATCTTCCCAATATTGGAATATGTCCTGAACTCAGATCTCCTTCGCTTTTATGAAATAACTCTAATCACAAGTACGACCTAATCTAAACTTCATACAGAAGATTCTATCCGGTTATCCAAATAGCTTGTAATGACAGAGACTGTTTCCACGCAGATGTGAGTTAAAGCCATCATGCCAAGGCACTCTCTGCACCCTTACACTCAAGTTCGAACCCCATGTCCGTAGGTTAGAGCAGTTTAGACTACCCATTTATCAAAAAAGACAAAGACAAAGAACTGGTGTTTCCATACGGATTGTCCCTAATTACTTCAGTTCACTCTAACATAACATGTCATTTTCTCCTCTTGTGCCTGCATGACCCACCAGAATACACGACAAGCATCAAAAGGAATAAGACAAGCCATGAGGTAATCACGCCACTACCTTTTTTGTTTCCCCCAGAAAGACGACTGAACAAAAAAAAAAAATTACCACAATGAATTATGGCCATCGTCACCATTTTGATACTCATATCATAAAGCATAAAAATTTAAAGTATGCAATGTCCGACATGAGCCTTCTGTGGTACATCGGCTGTACCGGTACAGCCAATCACGTGGGCATTTTTTAAAAACAAGTGAAACTGGTTGTTTGAGTTAACCGGTTAAAATAAGGGAAAAAAAAAAAATCACCCCTTCAAAACCTAGGACGCCTCGCATGCACTGGGGCTGCTTCATCTCTTCTCTGCGATCTCTCTCTTCGGAAATCCAAGCTTCATCTATGTCCCCAGATTGGAATCTGGGCGTCTCATCTCTGCCCAGGCCGAGATGCAACAGCCAGAGGAGAGGAGATAGAGAGACAGCGGTGCTTCGAAGGCAAAAAGGTGTCAGTTCAGAAGACTAGGCCGAAGCTGACCTCGCCCACGTCCTCCGCCACTTCACTCGCGCTTTCAAGTACCGTGGCCTCGGAAACGAGGTCTCATATTCAATTCCACTCTTGTTTCCTTTCTTTTGTGGAAAAAAATTCATCATATTATGCTAAATTGTTTTTAGCAGTTTTTGGAGGTTAGAGATTTGGGGAACTTAATTGGGTTGTACACCGAATGGCACTCACGTTTGCTCCCATATTATTCTTTTGATCAGTTTGTTCATGAGATGAGGTCGAACAGGTTGCCGCCACTAGACAAGTAAAAGTACTGATCTCTCTGTCTTTTTTTATTTTTTTTATGTTTAAATCCTTTGGATTTTGGACTCTGCTTTAATCTTTTATTCTTTGTGTGCAAAATTTTGATACATTTCTCTTAGAAAATTGAGAGAAAGAGTTGCGAGTGGAGGAGACCCGACAAAGTTGCATGAACCAGCAGTCGAACAAGGCTCTCCAAGTGATCAACAGGGTATTATGCTCTGTCATTATCTCATTTTTGTATAATAGCTCGAATTCAATAGTGTCTCAGCTCTAGTGGCTTAGGCTACAGCTTGAACAATGTATTGAGTGCATATTGCCTGAGTTGTTTGGTATTAATTGGAAGGATTGAAGGATGCAATTACTCTACTATTGCAACAAAAGACCTGTCAAGAAAATTGAAAAAAGAAAAACAGTTCCTGTGTAAAACCTTTTTTTGGTGTAACAGACTGATGAGAAAAGTAGTTACATATTCATTAATAACTATGGTAATGGAATCCTTAGAGGTTGAGGTTGTAACTCAGTTAAGAAATTTTTCATATAGACTACTTTTACCATGATGTTAGTATGCTACGATAATGGATTGGCTACTGAGTGGAGCATGAATGATGCTGAGAGAGGAGCATGAATAATGCTGAGAGAAGAACATCATTGAACCGGAGATTAGTTGTTCTGAGTTCACATGAAAGATGTCAGGGAGAATGATATTGATAAGTGGAAATCTACTGCCAATAATTCTATGTTACTTCGTTTTTGAAAAAATAATAATAATTAAGTTGGAAGGTCTCCTTTTCTTTATGAAATAATTTAATTAGAAGTTTTTGGGTTCTTCTTCAGAATTTGTTATAATATTTGTGTTTGATCAATGATATTTGAACTATTCGCTTTGGAAACAACCACTGCTTTCTATGTTCCCATTTAAATATTGAATCCTTTTAAATGTCTTGGGGTTTATATATAGGCTCTGTTTGTTATTAAGTATTTGCTTGTCTTGAGTGTTTACTACTGAAAGATAACCCTCAAAGGATTCTTTGAAGAATTATGAAGGGCATTTCATTAGAGAATATTGTTAGAAAACCTTGTAAAGTTGACGTTTCACTGAACAATACAGATGCATTTGTTGTCTCTAGTATCTGTGTGCAATAGATTGATGGTGCTCCTTTGCTTTGCTAATTGTAGGAGGAACCCTCTGAGACTTTGCATGGTGATATGGTTGCTCCTAGTATATCTGCAGCAGGTAGTTTTCAGAAAGAATTAACCAATCAAGTTCCAAATAATGAAGGTTGTGAATCTAGTGAAAATTGTTGAAATATAATCCTGTTCTGCCTGATTTCTTAGAGCAGAAGTCACGTTCTGCCTGATTTCTTCTCTCTAGCTAAAATCTCCAGAAAATACATCTCTTCCTAATCGGAAAATACATATACTAACTAAGAATTCTAACAGAAATCATGACAGATGAACAGAGAGCATGAATGAAAGCTAGCAGATTTAAGGTCCTTGAGAAAGATGCAGCTAGGCGCCGCCAATTGCAGGTGGCTTGAGGTTTTGGTTTTCTTCTGTTGTGTTCTAAATTATGTTTCATTGTGTTGAGCTGTGGATGGCAATTGAACTCATGGATATAGGCATCAAGGCAGAACGTTCTGTCTTGATATTCTTTCTTTGTGCGACAAAGTTTTTTGTCATATTTACACAAGTCGATCTCTTTGATAGTTGATCCATTACCAATTGTTACTTATCGGTTCTTAATTTGATGTAACAGTTTATTTGCAATTGCATACCCGAATATGTAATTGCATACATTTTATGTAATAATTGACCCCCCTAAAACCAAAAGAAGGGTAAGGTAGGTAGGTTTGACTGTGTTTTTGAATATTTTGTTATGGAGTATAAAGTGTTCCGAATGTGTAATGTTAGAATTGGTTAAGATTTGGATTGTGATTTGAACGGATTGAGAATCCCGACCCAAGAGAGAAATGCATGGATGGGTTGTGCGCATTATTTGTGCAATGTTATAATGAAGGGTTGATGCACTTGCAAGTTGTGTCGTGCAATTGCATATCGGTATACGCAATTACTGAGCGATTGCAAGTAGTGTCGTGCAATTGCATATCGGTATACGCAATTACTGAGCGATTGCAAGTAGTGTCGTGCAATTGCATATCGGTATATGCAATTATAGAGCAACTGTGTGCAAATCCTGTTCACCATATTTTTGTAATTAATCAATGTGATGTTGTGGTGTTTAAGGGGGTTTAGGGTGTATTAGGCTTTGGATTAGTATTCAGATTCTCGTCACTAGAGACAATTGCATGATAGTGTTGTGTACTTGATTTGTGCAAGTTATGGAAGTTGAAAAAAGGGGTGAAGCGAAAGGAAAGAGCAAAGCCGAGAGTAATGTACAATAATCAAGAGTTGGCGGGGATGCATTTTTTAATTTCATGTAAGTTGCACATATATCTAAAAATTGGAAACGTGGTTGCTTAATATTATGATGGTTTTGTTGATTAAAAATAAATGATTGACAGGAAAAAAGAACGACTTGAAATGGGGAAAGTGGCCAATGCAAAGTTGGACAGTAAGGTGAGAGATGGCAATGAAATGGGTCAGTTTTTTAATTATTTTATTAAAAATGCTCTTTTTGAACTGTCGCTCATCTTACTCGGTATTGTGGAGCTGGATAGTCTCGACGGCTCAAACAAGTGGCAGAGGACGGGTCGGACTCGCTTGAATCGTCTCAGAGCTGCGTCGGCCTTTCGGACTTGCAATCGTTGTGTTGTCATGGGAAGATGCGTTAGAGTTGTTGGGTGGTGCTGCGTTCACGGCAGCAGCGGTGGCGGCACTAATATTCGGCGTTCATACAGAACGTCATCTACTCAACAAGATTGCCATCTTCTCCAATTTCTATTGCCCGTATGTTATTATCTCTCTATTGCTTGTTCATTTTGGCTTTTGTGATAAATTTAAGGTATTGGGATTGGAAATTCATAAAGTAATCAAATTGGAATTTGAGAATTGTGAGTTCGTCAATTTGATAATTATGAGAAATTTTTAGAGTGTTCATGTTGAGGAAAATATGAATCCATCATCTCAAATGGGACCTTTTTACTAATTTATAGATTACTTTTCATTTTCATGGATTTATTGCATTGTTTTCTAATTATGGGAAATAAATTGGTGCGTTTCATCTACTAAATCTTCAGCTTTCTGTTATTGAAATAGTTCACAAGTTGAGTAGAAATATTTAGAAAAAGAACTCTGTGAATGCCTGGGTGTGTGAATTTAAGTGATGTTGGAATGAGGGATTGTGTGATGTTTTGTGGATTCTTTTTTGAGGGTCTCTTGCTTGGTGAGAATTGTAGAGATAAGGAAATGGAAAGTGGGTAGACAGAGCCAAACTCTCACCCAAAAGCAACTCCTCATCACTTTCATGTGGTACAACAAAATTTCAGGCCAAAGCTTCATCATCAACGTTGGGGACAAAGACAATACCTCTTCACCATTCAAATTCAACTTCAATTCACATGCATCTGGCCGGGAGATTTTAGTTCCCACGCATCTGGCTTCTCTTGGTTGTTGTTTCTTTGTTTTTTCTCTCTTACTTTTTTAATTTATTTAGAGCAACAAGTTTGGGTTTTGTGAATTTTTGTTCCTTCAATTTTTCCCTTGTCCTTTTTTAAAAATAAAAATTAATATAAGGTTCTCTAATCTATTAAATTAGATTTTTTTTTAATTGTAGCTTAAGATTTCATTTTATTGTATAAAAAAAAAATCATTCATCTTGGTCATCAAAGAAAATAGAGCATTGAGATACCAGTTAGAGAAGAAGAAAAGAGAGGTTGTGGTGAGGTTCAACTCGGTTTTGCTACTGAATTAGTTTTGACGCTTTGCAGAAGTGAATTAACATAAATTAACCAATGCCATTTGGTTATGTTGGTTGTTGATTGATTGCAAATAAAACAGATGGAGGAAAGGGTAATTGTACACAACTGTCTAGTTTTTGTATCATTAGACAATTGCGTACCAGGATATGGAATTGCATACCATTTATGCAATAGTTGACCCTATATATATGCAATAGTTGACCTTTAACATGGATAGTGATGAATCCAATTTCTGCACCTCACAAAGGTAAGGACAAGGATTAAAATATCAGCTGTGCAGATAATATCAGACCTCCAATTTATGGATATTTCGGGGAATATATCGTTATTGTTTTAGGTATCAGGAAAAAATCAACAAAATTGACAAATATAGGCATTGAAATACGTAATTTTTGTGTAAAATTTTCATAAATGTTATGTACATTATCAATGAATGTATTGAACAAATAAAACTAATAATTTACTAATAATAAGATATACATATGAAGAAATATAAGTGGTATGTAATACGCGTTAATGAAAAGTTTGAAAATAAAATGTTGATTAGAATGAATAAACCATGCATAAATCAATAGTTTGTTTTAACATTGGATTACAATTTAGATAAGTGTCCATCTATATAAATGAAGAGCTCCAATAAGGTTCAAACAATGAGGAACAATCATCTAGATTCATACAATAATCATACCAAGTCACGTAACCCGAGCATTTTGTAAGCCTAGTTTGAACATGGTGCACATAGGTCTCTCTTGAGCTCCATACTGTTTTCATATATATGAGATAGTTAGGATTAACCCAACTAGTAGGAAGGGGTGGCCCTAGAATAGTGCAAGTGGCGCCAATGCACAGGGCCCCTGATTTTTGAAGAACCCCTAATTTTTATTTCATTTTATATAATTTATATTAATATTATAACAACTGTATATATACTCCAACGTGCAACAAATTGACACAAAAATTTATTTAGTGGAGTTGGTTTCTAGTGCATATTCCTTGGTATAGGGCTTACGTTCGAGTCTTAGTTATGTGAATATATTTGTAATTTTATTCTCTTTTTATTATAAGAGCAAAACTTTAAATAGTTTTAAAAAAGAAGCATTTGAAAAATATAAGGGGAAAGATCCAATTAAATTAACAATAGTATATATCACACCTATACGGTTTTTCTTTAAAAAATAATAATAATAAATTCTTCGACTCAAAACAAAACAAAACAAAAATAAAAAATAAAAATCATGTCTTCTTCTTTCTCGTGAACTCTTATTTTTTATCACCGAACATACCAACATTTAAATTTATCAAATGAATGCAACATACTCAACGAACGCAGCCCCTGCAAACACGTGAAAAAATAGTGCGTTTGTTTGAAAAAGAAAGTTAGTGGGGTCCATTTTCCTGGGGAACTCGCAACTTTACTCAACGAATGCACTCCTTACGTTCGCGTGAATAAATATCCCGTTTGTTTGAAAAAGTAAGTTAGTGGGGTTTATTCTCCTGGGGAACGGGTAACTTTACTCAACGAACGCAACCTCTACGTTTAGGTGAATAAATAACCCGTTTGTTTGAAAAAGCAAATTAGTTGGGCCCATTTTTATTTATGTCTGAATACCTGAGGTGGCTTAAGGAAATATAAAGCTCTGAAAAGATCTGATAAATAACTGAATTCTGATAAATTTAAAACTATGCTGCCCTGACTCTAAGATTTAGCTAAAATCCCTTTTTCCCTCTGAGTGTCTGACACCTGGCTAATGCTGGGTGTAAAAGACTAGTTTACCTTTTTAACTGAATTTAAATAAAATTTTTAATGTGACTTCTACCAAAAATTCGGCAGAGTCTCCCCTGTAACTGAACATTTCCCAAAAATTTTCTACCTGTAAAACAAGAATATATGTTTAAATATATATCTATATCACAACTGCCAACATGTATCGAATTATATCCAAAAGGAATCAAGGATCATAACACTCAAGTCTCAGGTTGCAACAATTCAAATAAATGAACCTGCTCATAAAATTCATCTCATTCGCGTGAATAAATAGCCCGTTTGTTTGAAAAAGTAAGTTAGTTGGGTCTATTTTTCCGGGGAACGGGCAACTTTACTCAATGAATACAACCCCTGCGTTTGCGTAAACAAATAGCCCGTTTGTTTGGAAAAGTAAGTTAGTTTAGCCCATTTTTTCGGGAACGGGAAACTTTAATCAACGAACACAACCCCTACGTTCGCATGAAAAAATAGCCCATTTGTTTGAAAAAGTAAGACAGTTGGGTCCAATTTTCGGGGGAACGGCCAACTTTATTCAACTAAAGCATCCCTTGTGTTCGCGTGAAAAAATAGCGCGTTGTTTGATGAAGTATTTTAGTTTGTCCAATTTCCCGAGGAACGACGAAATGTACTCAACGAGCGCATCCCTTGCGTCCTCGAAGTCAAATACCTTGTTTGTTGAGTAAATCATGGAGTTCGTTGGGTAATTTGGTCAACGGACAACGTCATTTACCCGACGAATGAGTCGCTTAGCGTTCGTTAGGTAGGTTACTTGGCATAAATTACTGAATATAACTTTCGTGATTTACTACTAATTTAACCCAATGAACTATTGGGAATAAAATTGAACTTTGTTGATTATCTCCAATTATTACTACATTGTTAATTTTAAAAAATAATAATATCAAACATATGATTGTTGATACAAATATAAATTTAAAAACTTTCAACAAAAATGAAGTAAATTTAGGTTTTAGCTACACACAAACTTTCACTTTTGGAAAAAGACAAATTTTTTTAAAAAAAAGACAGAAAAACCCCTCAACTTTTAAACCAAAGACATACAAATATAAAGGGTTCCTTACGAAATCCAAAAATAATAAGGGCATTTTTGTCCACTTTGTCTTCTTTTCAAAATATTTCTCTCTCCTTTGGTCTTTTCCAAAATGTCCCCAAAAATTATTACTTAATGGTCGATTGATTAAGCCACATTGAATTGACGAAAAAGAAAATTGGACTTTTTCGATCATGATCAATGCCCAATTGATAATATATGACCATGAATGTTTAGGAAATGAAGTGGAAGTATGAGAAGTCTTCTTATATCCAATCTCGCACCATTCAATTGATAGTACAAAAAATAGGTCTACTTATGCCTTTTAAAAAAAAAAAAAATTATCAATTTTTCCTTTTTAGGGGTTTGCGCACAGTCACTCTTGCATTGCATCAGCGTCGTGCAATTGCATGTTTCCAATGCAAATGCCGACCGGCTGTGTGCAAACTAAAGATAGCTTAAAAAATCGAACCTAATTAATGTATAGCGCAAAGACAAAGAAAGGAAAGTTCCAAATTTTATTAGGACCCTATGTGTATTATTCAATATTAGGGTTAATCACATTTTGGTTTACGAAATTGGGGATATTTTGGAATGTGATTCGCACTACATGATACGAAATCACATATAGCAATCCTAATAATTTGTTAAACATGTTATTAACCAGCTAACATGTTTAAAAACCTATTTAACAAGACTCAAACTAGACACGACACATTTATTAAATGGGTCGGGTTTGAGTTGAGCATTTTAGCCACGACACGATCCATTGTCAGCCATAACTCAGAGCGTGACTTGGCTAACTAAACTCGAGAGATTGGGTCACTTGTTTATTTGTTTTGTGTTCTTTATTTTTTTTTTCTTTATTTTTTGTAAATTAAAGGGAGGCTCCAAATTTGAGACATATTTCAAAATTTTGAACAAAAATACTACCATATTGAAGAAAATGTTTGAGAGAATGAGATAGATGAAATTAATGATTAACTACTTAAATCCCCTAACCAAGCAAATACTTTATTATGACCCTATGTCTATTATTCAATATTAGGGTTAATCACATTGTGTTTTACGAAATTCGGGATCTTTTGGAAAATCATTTGTGCTACTTGACAATGTCTATTCTTACGTAATTTCGATAATTGGTCGTTTTTGTAATATAATATGTTTGGCTTATTGCCCATTACCGTTTCTCATTCTCTGTATTTCGGTTCATTTCGCCCTTCGATTTATAGTTCAAAAAATAGGTCTAATTATGCGTGTACAAAAAAATATGATCCATTTTTCCTTATTAGGGGTTTGCGCACAGTGACTCTTGCA